TTCAAGAATAAACTGGGTTCTCTGCTCGCTTTTCTGCTTTCCACTTACAAACATTCACTAACTTCAGTGGAAATACCCTCTTCTCCTATTGCATTGCATGAGCCAGACCCAAGCCTTCAGAAGGCTCAGTGAAGCTCTGCTGACTTATATTATTTGACAGTGTCAGCCTTTGTGCATGACTGGAACATACAGTATTTCTTTAATAACACAGAAATAATTTAAATCATTCCTGATTCTCTTTGCACTTGGTCTGCCCAATTTAATTTTCCTAGACTATTCCCCTGCCATTCTGACATGATGTTAGAGACCCATGGATTACAGTGCATTCAGTGAGGAACGAGACTGACATTGGTAAGAAATACAAACCAAATATCTTTTGAATTTATGTATTTAAGTCTCCACATACATGCTTTGTAGCTCAGGCTGATAAACTTCAGAAACTTAGCATATGCTAACACGAGAACATCTAAAAGACATGAAAAATAGAGTTATGTGTTGAAATTAAAGGGCTCTTCAGATCAAATGTGAGGCGCTAAGAGGGAAGTTTAGTTATAGGTTTGAACAACCTATAGGATGTGGTAAAGCATTTTATATTTTTGGAAGGAAATGTGGATAACAGCGTATCTGGTTTCTAAGACAGTTTGAGATTTTCCAGGAGTGGAATTGCGTAAATGCAATTAAAGCTGAAAGATGGACAGCTATACTGGAGACCACAGTAAATGCTATTTTGAGGCATCAGCCAATGTCATAGAGTTTATAAGCACAATTTGTCAGGAATAATAATAAGGAAACGTTCTACATCTAAATTGCTATGGGAAACTCCCGGTACTCTTCAGATTTCATCTCATTCCAGTTTCTCAATCTGGAACTGATTCAAGACCTTTGAAGTTCCTGTCTCTGGATTTCAAAGGAAATGAGCTGGGACCTGGGGCAGATAGCAAGATCTAGAGCCAGTCTTCTGAAGCACTGAACTCCCATGAATCCACATGAAATCGGCTTCCACAGAGCCAGCCCCTGCCCCACTCTTCTCCCCCTGCTCATGCTTTTAATGGGAGTTTAGGAGTCAAAGTTTTGGGCCCTCTGCATATTTCTGCCCTTATGTTGTTTCTTATTGATTTACTCAGACCAGGTCAGATCCCACCTCATCTACGTCAAGAGCCAACTTACTTAAAACTTCCTTTGCAGGTTAGACAAAACCTTGCAGTCTCCAAGCGAGAGCAGGCCAGAAGGATGGACAGAGCCAGGACACCGCTTGAAGGCAGAGGCCAGGGAGCAGGGCCTGGTGTCTCTGCCACTGCCAGGGCATGGACCAACAGCCGATGCTTTTGCTCTCGCTGCATTAGCTGCTGCCTCCCCACAGTCCCAGGTCCTCTCTCGGCAGCAGCAACAGCCACCCTCCTTGCAGGCCTGGAAGGCTGGGAAGTAGGCAATAGGGCTGTGACTAATTTTGCTAGGCCAAGCACTTGGCTGCCCTGGGAAATTGGTTGTTTTGTTTATGCTTGATCTCATTCTCTTTGGACTCAAGATGTTGATGGAGTACAGAACTTCACCTTTATTGCCCTAGTTACTCAGCTGTGGATCAGCGTTACCTAATATAAGTTTTCAGAGGTCCTGTGCCACAGCAGTCCAGCTAAGACCCAGTTGTTCCTAAACATCTCAGATCAAACACCAAAAATCACTAGTTACGAAGAGTGAAAATCTGTTTTGGTCCAAAGCACATATTTTTTTCTTTTTTTTTTGGTTTCCTAGGTTATTTCAATGAGGGTCCTAGAAAATGCCTCACACATTTGTATTTTTAACTGCTATACAAGCCAGCTTGCTGTGTACCTCAGGAGGTTTTTCAGGAAGGCAGAACATGACGGCCATTACACTAGGGCTATGTTCATTAAAAATAACCCCTCTTTTTGAGAAGAGACCTGAGCATTGCCTAGAAAACGAAACTGGGAAAGGAGTGCCAGCTTTTGCTTTTCTGTTACTTTTTTTCTCTTTTTCTGGAGTGCCTGCTTAGAAAATTTCTTTGCGTAGACAAACAGACTTCAACTTTCATTTGCTTGCGCCAGCGATGGAAAAGCAGCAGATAGGTGGAGGGGACTGCAAGGCGCCTGGTTTGCATCACGCAGAACCACCAGAGGTCAGACTTAAACTCCTGATCCTTTCTAATGCCGAGCAGTTTAATTCAGACTGACTTCTATCATTGCAGCAGAAAGTGCAAAAAGCTTACAGGACATGTACTGCATTCCTTCTGTTCCTGAGTGACTCTTCCAGAGTAATTTCTAGCTCTTTGTGTTATACACAAAGGCCTCTGGTTTTGCATCATGCTTTTTGGGAGCTGGCAGGACCGTCACAACTGGTTTGAAGAGTTTCCTGATAATCAGCCTGGAAATACCCTTTCTTTTCATCCCATCACTCATATCATACTTCTCTTGTGACATCTCAGGTATGAGCATAACAAAGACTACATTTTTGAAGGGGAAGAATTTGGCTTGCACAAAGTGACTTGGACGAGTTACCTGTGGCTTGTACAAAAAGTGGCCGATTTTCACGACACTTAATGACCCTTTCTGAACAGGTGATTTTCAGGCTGAGCACGCAGAGAGGTTGGGTGCTTGCTCCTGTAGCAACTGTGAATGCCTAGGTGAAGTGAGTAATGCAACCTCCAACAATGCAAGAAATAAAGGGTTGTAAATTCTGACCCTCTCCAGAGAACCTCACTTCTCCCTCAGCTTTCTCCTCTCCATTGTGCTGTGTGGTAGGAACAGCAGTATTGCTGCTGCTGCATAGCACCAGGGACCATCCCACTTGTAGCCCACAGACTGGATCTAGCCTACAGGACAATTTGTGCCTTGCACTGGAATAGGTAAGGTGGCACAGTGTAGGAAGTCTCACAGCTATTGAATACCTTTTAATTCCTTGCAGTTCTAGTTGCTTTGGCCCAATAGACATGTTCATATGAAAGGAGAAAGTTGCCACAACAGGAATCTGGCCTGTGGTGGTAGAAAAAGCTGGCTAACGTACTGTGCTAGCTCAGCACCTCTGTCTTGTGGGAGCACCACTGTGTTCTACCATAGCCGAAGATGCTGAGCAGAGGGAGGTGAGGGGGTGAAACTTGTGCAGGGTGGGTTTTGACCCATTTTTGGGAGAATGGTGGGCAAAGGGGCGCAACAGATGTAACACAGAAAATAAAACAGCAACAAAAGTCAGAGGCTTGTCTATTGTTAGGGTTAAAGTTTGAGCAGCAAAGTATTGCCTGTGGCTGTGGTGTGGTCATAGGCTGGGGATCATGTGCTCTGAGTCCATAGACATAAGATGGATAGAGGAAAACTGGCAGCAGGGCAGACTTTCTTCTGCCATATTAGGTCAGAATGCTTCATCCTTGACTACAAGGGATGCCTGAGGAGTAACAGGGTAGTTCACACACACAGCCCGCTCAGTCTTTAATTGCCCAGCTGACTGGCAGTCAAAACAACCAGTGCCATTGAGAGCTGCTTGTAACTGTCCTGGATAAGCTCAGCTCTGGTAGGAACTGAAATTAGTCTATAGGATCATATCACATAGCCTGCAAAATTTATTTGATGGCCTGCAATGGATGCGAGCCAGTAATTTGGAGATGATTTACTCGATACTCCTTTTACCAATCATGGATCTTGGGCATGTTAATCTAATTTTAAAGTAGTAGTGAGGACTGTGCCAATATGCTATTTGGCTCCTCTTGTGTCTTGGTGTCAGCCAGGAGGCAGCAGGACTGGTAATGACTACATCCTGGCTTTCTCCGTATCACGCTTGAAAAGATCCATAATATCTAACCTTTAAATGCTCCCTATACAAGCTAGACCACAAAAACAAGCTGGAGTCCCAGCTACTCTCGTGTTGTCACCAGACCACTTCATTAGCCTTGTGACTTCTTAAACACAATTCTGTCAAACTTTGTTCTCCAGCCTGCCATTATTCAGATACTAACTAAACAAACTCCCACTCGCTCCCCTGAGGATCATTACATCTCTCTGCATTTATGCTGTGGCAGCAAAAGTTTAAGCTTGGATTGTAATCATAAAGAAATTAACTTGCTGATTAAAAATGGTCCTTTAAGCCACATGCATTTGAATAATCCATCATAAAAACAAATGAGTCTGTAGCAGTGCTTTGGACTTGATAATCTTTTTTCTGCTTAAAATTTCAATCAGTTGAATTTTTTTCTCTCAGTCTGTAGCCTATAGAAAAATACAATGAATTAGTAAAAAGAAAACGATAGTTCAAACTGTAATAGCTGTGGTGTGGAATATATATTTTAGATCTGTCACTGCAAGATAGATTTGTACGTCATGGACCTAATTTTTGGCTGAGATAGATACCCTCCAGGCAATTCCATTGACGTTAGTTGTGTTACACAAAAAGTGAGTTAATGTAGAAAATGTGGTTTCAGATATTTACAGTGTTTTGAAGATAAAAGACCTGCAGATGCCAGAGCTGATCTAGTTCTTGTTGAAATCTGTAGTGAAGGTCCTGTTTAATTCAACAAGAGCTGCTGGATCAGGTCTGAAGAATGCAGCAGAGCTGTGCTTACAAGTAAACATTGGAAATAATGACAGTTCATTTTTGCATCTCTCTCTCTACCTGTAGGTGCAAAGTGAACCATTAACAGTTCACAATAGGTGCCTAGTTTTAGACAAAGTCACTCAATTTGTGGCTGCTAGCTGTACTGTTTGTGTGATGAATGCAAGAAGTAAGAGAAGATCTATGTGGCTGGAGAAAGATGCAGAAGGACACCTCTGACTTATATGAGAATATGTGACACTATTCCTGAAACTAAAGAAAAGCAAATTCAAATCTTCTAGCTTCACCACTTTCCCCCATCACAGTTCCACTTTCCTAGAGGTTTGTACAGTCCGCAGTAACTCATATCTTTCATCCCCAGCCCATGCCAAAAGCCCTCCATTTCTCTATTTTTAAACATCAGCCTTTACCAGTACTGGTCTCAGCATTAGCAACCTGATATTCCTCACCTTTTGGTCCAGGTAAAATTGTGTGTGTCGAGCAGACATCTGTTGTAGGTCGATTGTCAACATCAAAACCAAAAATCTGAACTTGGAAGACAAAAAGCATTACTAGGGTCCCGTATTTCCTTAGCTGTTGTTCTTTCTTGCTGCTCATCCTTGCAGCTTCTCAGGAAATGCCTTTCGTTGTTACAGTCTTAACAAATGCAGCTGACTCAAAAATAAATGCTCCACTAACTGAAGCAGTGCAAAGATTGGGAGCTACATGCAAGAACAGCTAAATAAAGTGAAGAAAGGAGTTTGACGATACTGTAGTTATTTCTGTCCTGCGCATTATCCAGGATATTTATTTAACACTGACAGCTGTTTATTCCAATTTATCTCTTATCTGTGAGATGTTTAGCTGCTTTTGCCATGGAAGTTTCTTCAATATATGGGAATATCTCTTTTGTATTTTTTTTTCCTTCTGGCACTGACTTTTCATGCCCAGCTTTTCACTTACTCAAGACACAAAAGACTTTGGTATTGTATCCAAGTGAGTACTAATTAGTTATAGGATATTTGTGGCTGGTTATGTGCTGGAAGAGTCATGCAGACTCCATATAACATGTAGAGAGACTTTTCCACAAAAGCTTTCCTCCAAGGAGACTGTTAGTGGCAATGGGAGAACAGCCAGTCTGCTGTGGGTGGAAGTCACTGGTGCTGTTTCGCACCTTTTGGGTGCCATGGACCCATAGACCCAGAGCAGAAAAAGAAAAGTTGGTGTTACCAATGGGTGTTTGAGCCAGACACCCACAAATGATGGTTTTACGCTTACAGATTGCTCCACAGTGGTTGCTTGAAGCTCAGATTATGTCAGTAGACACAGTACAGAAGGACAGACTTCAGGATTGAAGCCACAGAACAGAATGAGCTTGAATGACTGCAATACTTCCTCCCATATCAACCTTTCCCCTGTGCTGGGAGAGGCCACATATCAGGACAGTGGTGTAGCATAAGTCCCAGCAGAACATCATCTTTGGATTGTCCTGGAAGCTGCTGCTGGTTCAAATCCACATGAGGTAGCTGTCACGTTTTCAATTGGTTGCTGGGAAGTTTGGAACCAGGTGTAGGAGGTCTCTTGGATGGAGGAAGAGGTAGCATACAAAACTGCTATATGTCCTCTTGGAAGGAGCTGTGACAGATATCCATCCACGTGCAATCCCTTCCTAGAAGAAACTCAAGCTTTCTCTTAGGGAGAGCACAGTAACCAGGGACAGCAGACCATTTGAAATAGCCTGGCTGAAAAGAAAGGGGAGAGGAGTATTTGTAATCTTTCCAGGAATTTTGTTAACTTTTGGTTTCTCACACAACAAAGGAGACAGATACTCAAAAAGCTGAACTATGCTTTTGAACTGCCTAGTGTGTGAGAGCACATGTTTGCTTTCCATTCTGGTCAAAAAGATGTATTTCCTATGATAACAGCTTTTGAGATGCTTCCCTCATTATGTAAAAGAGTATTAGTTCCTTAGCCTACAATGTTTTCAGCCTGTTCGTAGACAGAATAAGTAGCAGCACTAATGTAAAAGTGAATACCTTTTCTTAAAGGCTGAAGCAAGGCTTTGATTTCAAGCTTTCATCTGGGATGAAATGTTGGCCAAAGTCCCAAGAGAGGTCAAGACACTCCTCTCCCTCTTTCCCCAGTCACAAACTGTCCCACTTTTCAAACACTTTTCTTTTTTGTTGAACTGTATACAGTACTTTTCAGAAACAAATAGTGGTCTCTGTCCTTAAGAATGTCATGTAACACCCTCAAATGTGGCCTTGATAATGGGTAGACCACAGCTAGATGGGGAGGAAAGAGAAAGCTGGGATTATAGATGGATAGAGTCATACCAGGAATAAACTTGTTCCTCTGTGATTTGCATTGGGCACTGTGCCTCTGACTTGTATGTTGTAAATCTGTTTTATTTATCTTTTTCTTCTCCTCACTTTCCATTTTGTGAGCAGAAGGTCAATGTAAGAGCAAGAATAGAGAGCGTAGGAGTGGGAAGCTAGTGTACTTAGCTTTGGAGGAGGCATTTTGGGAAATGTTGCCAAACTGACGTGAATGATGCTATCTGTTTCACAGTACTGAGAAACTTACAGTGACTTCTTTGTTATGATCAGGGATAAAGAGGGGTAAGTGTAAGTGAGAGAGGAAACCATTTGTTTAACCACTTCAGTAACTGACCAGGACTAAGCAAGGAACATTATTCTGATACTGCTATCGCTGTGATCATTTACAAATGTTCTCATTCCACACTAGAAAAGAAATCAAGACCCTACTTTTTTTTTCCCCTCCATGACACTCACAACTCCCCTAAACACACAGTGAGAAATGACGTTTAATATATCCGAGAACTTGGTAATGAAGGAACTTACTTAAAATGTAGGAGATTCAGATTCAAATTCTTTCTCTGCCCAATTCAAAGCAGTGTTTGCACTAGAGCCTTAAGGTTATATTGCCATATTACATATGCTGTTTTGATAATCAGATGTGTCTTCCTTTATGTTGGACCAGAAATCCTGTCCTGGAGCTAGGAAACCTTCCTTAACAGGCAATCTATCAAACCAGACATACTAGCATGAAAAGCTTGGGTTTTGATAAATCGGTATTTATCAAACCAGTTTCATTGAAAAATCAAGCAGCTTCATTGCTGATGGAGATTTAATGAGGCACATTGTCTATTGTGCATGTTAATTCTCACTGAGTCCGGCTTAGAGAAATGTCTGTAGGCAAGAGGGAAAAAAAAAACTAGGCAGTGTTGTCCAGAAATAAAAGACATAAAGCAAACATTTCCTAGGGTGTGAATGTTTTACAAGGAAACCCTGAGAAAACAAAAGAAAATTCTGAAAGATTCTGTTCCTTTGAGATAAGCAGTAGTCAGTTATCCTTTGCGTAGTGCATTGCCTCCTTGGAGTCCAAGTACTTTCTTGGCAATTTGTATTGCCTTCACTTGCTTACTCTTCAGGCATTAGTAGTTAAATGTCAATAGACTGTAAGTACAGACAACATCCTGAAGTAGTGTTCATCAAAAAGTGGCCAGATCCACAGCCAATTTGGATATTTCAGGGAGTTCCAGATCCTGTGGTTGGACTCCAGGTTAATAGATCCTGCTTATAACCATGGGCTGATTCAGCCAGAGGTGCTGAGAGTCTGCTGTCATCCTTTCTAACCCAAACATTATATGAAGGAGAACTTTCCTCTTCTGTACCTTACTGTACTGAATAAATCTGGGAGCATCTGAAGTAAAAGAAAAAAAAGTGCAATATTTCTCTGCTTTGGGATCCTAGATGGTTTCAGTTCTCCTGGTATCAGAGGTCATGACGATTTGGAGTGTTTCAGCCTGTCCTACCGGATGTATCAATCACGGTGGAAAAAGAAAAGAAGTAACATGTGGTTTGTCAAGTGTAGGGAGGAAAGTAATCCTAGGGCTATTTTGTAAACGTCATTTTTGGTTTTGACACCACACAATGACTACTTGAGCCAGTAAACACAGTCTCCACCAGTTGTTGTTCCTCTGAGTAAGATATAAACAATGACTAGACCTTGATATGCCTGCAAATAACTGACAAAAAGAACCAAACTAAGGACAAAATTCTCCAAAATCTCCTTGTTTCTGTGTTCAGTAAACAGCTCGTAGGACTCTATTGATTTTAGGTAATCCTTGTTGGATATTTAAGGGGCTTCATCAGCCTCAGCAGTGTAGAAATACATGTTCCCCTACCAACTATGATCTCCCTGGTTTTGTGCTAGTGAGTTTGACTCTCTGTTGAGTACCTTGAGGGATGGGTGCGAGCATTCCCTGGTCTGACACAGGGATGGCGCTCTAGGAGAACCTGCTTTAGCACTTACAGCCCCTTCTTGGGATAGTCCTACCCCCCTTTTCCTAATCCTATTCCCCTCAGCTTTTAGCCCTTAAACAGAAAAGCTGACCCAGATTCCATCTGGAAGTGTCTGCTTCGAGGCAGGAGGGATTTGGAGACTGCTGGTGCCCAGGGAGCAGAATGGCTGGTCAGCACTGAAATCTCAGCAGGAGCTTGGGTTGCAGACCACAGATTCAGAGAGCTACTGGACGCTTTATGAGGTGCAGTACTGAACCCTCCACCCTGTTTTTTAAACAGACCTCAACTGCGTAACTTCTGCTCGCTCAGGTAGCACTGCATTACAACTTTGCATTTCTAACTTTTGCACTTTGCAAGAACTTACTGGCTCACAATGAATGTGTTATAAGCAGTTTTATTGTGAGCACTTTCATTGAGGATACTTCTCTGATAGTTAGCCTGCAGGTTTTCAATTCTACTGAAGATGCCTTTGACTTTACTCATACGGCATCAGCCTTCCTGAGAGGCCTAAGACAGATACCTATTGCTATTGTTTTCCATGCAATCACTTGGAAAAGCTGTCCAAAAAAGTAAGGCATCCACATATGCATTCAGAGATGTGATAGAAAGTGAAATACTCAGTGTGGTTTGTAATTGTGTTTATCTAAGTGCAGCCTTTTCCTGTGTCAGAACAGATTTTTGCAAACAAAAGGGCAATGATTCAGTTCCAGGGTAAGACTGACAAAATAAACGCTGGCTTCTGCTGACCTGATGCAGTGCTGAACAGTGTCCTACCCTGGGAAAATATTTCCTGCTTCATTTTCATAAATATTTTTGTAATTCCTTCTGGGAAACATGTCTTCTTCAGAAAACTGAACATGCTGCTCCCTGACACAAATTTAACTGTTTGTTTACACATGAGAGATTATGGGCATGTAGCCAGCCTTGGATTTTTACATTCTTATCTCAGGCATTTCTGTCTTTTAGAGTTCTCCTTCACTCTCCTCCTGGAGATCGCATTAAGTCTTGAGCCACAGAGCTTAGTTCTGGCTCTGGAATTTGAACATCCCCAATATTCTTCGGAGAGTTGTTATTTTGAGCTGCAGAAATAGGGACCAAATGTGGTGTTCTGCTTGGAATCACACTTCTGTCCTGCCCAGTTATGCTCTTCCCATTCTGGTTTGAGGCTCCTCTCTAAAAAAAAAAAAAAAAAAAAAAAGAAAAGAATCATGTAAGCAATTAAACAGAGGATTGCATAGTTAATGAAAGTATTTATATTTAGAAACAGACCTAAACACAGTGCTGTGAACTGAAACAGAACTGATGTGCAGTCTTTTGACTTTGCTTTCTAAGTTTATGGTAGGGATTAGCAGCAAGGTGGTGCACAAGTTGCCCCAAGAGAACAGGTATACTCCCCACCATGACAAACTGAAAAATGTTGATCCCGCTCTCTTTAACATTTTTTAAGAGAACAGAAAAGTCACTGACCTTGAAGTACAGACTGACAGAGCCTTGTACGAAGCGTTGTATTAGTGCGAAGCTGAGCTTTGCTTACCAACACGCTCACACCCTTCCATGAAGTGGGGAACTGTGTGGAGTGCTCTAG